TTGTATTTATTTATTATTATTTAGTTGGTAAAAGTTCAAGCAATATTATTACTTATATAGGCTGCTGACTACTTTATAATCAAGTTCGCCAATTGTTTGAGATCCATGATCTATAAGTTTATCTATTAAATTCTTTTCTGCTTCTGAAACATACTAAACATATAATATTTTTTTATTAAAAGTTGGTCTCTAAATTGAAATAAGCTAACAGAGGAAAATACTTACTTTTATATCATTCTCTAAAACGTATCCTAACTCTAATCTCCACCATGGTTCCATATGAATATCAATTGGTAATCGTGGCAGCAGGCTTAGCAGTTGAGGTTTTCTAAACAGTTTACTTCTCAGGCCTCTACTTTGATTCATTAATTCAATATATTCATTGCGACCAACACCAATCAATCGTAAACCTTAAAATTTAAAATATATTATTATCAAATATGTTGTATTCGAACAACAAACATTTGTATTCGAACTTGGAAGATTTTCAACATATGCATAGCTACTGATAAACAAAATTGGTTATTAATAAACTCACAATCAGCAGCTGTGAAGTTTGGTAAAGTATCATAGCTCCTTTCCTGCTTCATCAATTCCTCTAGCATATCAATATAGTAATTAAATGGTGTAACTCTTAATCCTTTCACTATTATATCAGCAAGGTGATACGGGAATAACATGAGGCACTCATTACTAAATCTAACCAAAAATTCATAGTATTGTTCTTCATCTCGAAACACCTGCCGAACTAGATGACCATAGAATAAAATATTATTCAAAGAAATATTCGAATGTAATTTCATTTTAAATAGTCTGAACATAAATATTACAATATTTAAATGGAGATATAATATATTTAAATATTGTGTTATGTATATAAATCCTATGTGTGTACGCATAGAGAATAAAATTAAATAACCAGAACATAATATCAATTTTTACAATAATATCAATTATGTAAAAGCTATTACACAAATATATTAATAATCATTTGAAAAAATATCGACCTAGTTTTTATTCTGGTATTTCTCTCACAATTTATGCATTGCCATAATAAATTTTTCAAACTTACCTAAATTACCACGATATCTCAACTGTTTTTTAAGACTGATGTTAAGTATATGTTTTTCATATTCTGATTGAGAAATCAGCAACTGCAATTAAATAAATCATGTAAATATATATGCTTATATGTAACATGTAATAAGCAAGTACCTGCTTCAGATGAGAAGGCAATTGTGCCCAAGGAATGTTTTTGCATATATTAATTTCTATGTCATTACTCATATTATACTAATTGTTGATTTACATATCTTTCAGAAAGAATATAACATGCTAATAATGAATTATCTAATACTGATGTATCCCAAATAATTATTATTCTTTGTTTCACATAATATCAATTACAAATTGCTCATTATCTCTGTACATTTTTATCTCTAGATCTTATCTGCTAGGTGTCGATTTTGGCTGTCACTTTACACACGTAGACGTTAGAGCATTAAGCAGACAACTTCATGAATGTTTTACAAACCAAAGAACAGAGATTAAAATATGAAGGTGCATCCACACCTAACGAACGAACACAAAAAAACACAAAGAAGAACAAACAGGAACACAAACGAACGCAAATAATTCTAAACAAACGCCTCAAAGCAGTGAGGGCTTGAATCTTTTTGTTCGAGGATGTACCATGAAACGTCAGATTTATTATTTAAAGTGGCGGGAAAGCGCAAAATTATTTAAAGACATCAAATTTACAAAATTGGTCAATAACAGCAATATCTTATAATAAACACAACATAAATTAATGCATTAATGCACATTTTAACATAAAAAAAGAAAAAATGTTTGTCTACATTCGTGGTAGCGGCCACACTGCACATACGAGTTCAAACATGAACGAACAATTCCCTTTGATGTACCGACAAGTTGCGGAACATTGCTCGCCTTGTTTGTTTATGTTCGTTTGTGATCGTTGTGGCGCCCACACTATACTGTACGTTTATTCATAGATAAAAGAAGAGTATATAGATCGCTCTTTCGGGCTATATTTCGTTGCCACATTTTTCTGATCAAATCTGTTAATTTTCCGACTTAGTTTCCGTCTCCCAATATAGATGGCGCTAGTCGGCCGTGGGTGCGAATATAAAATGCTGTAGAAATGCACCAATATAGATCGTTTGAATTCAAAATTAAAAAAAAGAAAATTGAATTTTAACTAGTTGGTTTGGTATTTAGCCTTGAGGCAAGTTACATGAACTTCCCGAAATGTGTAAATAATCGACTTAATCAAAAAAAATGTGTAAATAATATACTTCATTAATCCTACTTTAAAAAAAAACGATAATAATTTTAGCAAACTTTGACGAATTTTTAAAATTAAACTACTTGTTGTAAGGCCGTAATATTACAGTAAGTTCTATAAGACCATGATGTATATCGCCAAAAAAAGTTTCATGAAAAACGGCTTAATTTTTTTTTTAACGGTTAATTACAAGAAAACGGCTTGGTAGATTTTCACCTAAAATTAATCAGCATCATTCCCAACTAATATCTTTCGAACAGTTTTTGATTTTTCAAAATCGGTTCGGTAGGATGAGCTTAAATGTCGACGAAAATTTAACACTTTTTTTCAACAGTTAATTACAAGAGAACGGCTCGGTAGATTTTCACCTAAAATTAATCAGCATCATTCCCAACTAATATCTTTCGAACGGTTTTTGATATTTTAAAATCGGTTCGGTAGGATGAGCTTAAATGTCGACGAAAATTTAACACTTTTTTTCAACAGTTAATTACAAGAAAACGGCTCGGTAGATTTTCACCTAAAATTAATCAGCATCATTCCCAACTAATATCTTTCGAACAGTTTTTGATATTTTAAAATCGGTTCGGTAGGATGAGCTTAAATGTCGACGAAAATTTAACACTTTTTTCAACAGTTAATTACAAGAAAACGGCTCGGTAGATTTTGACCTAAAATTAATCAGCATCATTCCCAACTAATATCTTTCGAACAGTTTTTGATTTTTCAAAATCGGTTCGGTAGGATGAGCTTAAATGTCGACGAAAATTTAACACTTTTTTTCAACAGTTAATTACAAGAAAACGGCTCGGTAGATTTTCACCTAAAATTAATCAGCATCATTCCCAACTAATATCTTTCGAACAGTTTTTGATTTTTCAAAATCGGTTCGGTAGGATGAGCTTAAATGTCGACGAAAATTTAACACTTTTTTTCAACAGTAAATTACAAGAAAACGGCTCGGTATATTTTCACCTAAAATTAATCAGCATCATTCCCAACTAATATCTTTCGAACAGTTTTTGATTTTTCAAAATCGGTTCGGTAGGATGAGCTTAAATGTCGACGAAAATTTAACACTTTTTTTCAACAGTTAATTACAAGAAAACGGCTCGGTAGATTTTAACCTAAAATTAATCAGCATCATTCCCAACTAATATCTTTCGAACAGTTTTTGATTTTTTAAAATCTGTTCGGTAGGATGAGCTTAAATATGTACGAAAAGTTTTTTCGAATTACAAAGAAACGGCTTGTCAGATCGTTGCACAAAACTGACAAACGATAGTCCTCACCGAAATACATCAAATCGCTTTTAAATTTCTAAAATCGGTTCAGGCGTTTTTGAGAAAACGTCGATCAAAAGTCTAATTTTGACAAATGCCAAAAAGACCATACTGATTTTTGCAAACTTTGACGAATTTTTAAAGCTGAACCAGTTGTCGTAGGGCCGTAATATTTTAGTATGACCTATAAAACTATGGTATCTTTCGTCAAAAAAATAATCATAAAAATCGTCAAAATTTTTTTTTTAAAAACTTTATTACAAGAAAACGGCCCGGCCGATCTCTACCAAAAACTAATCAGCACGATTCCCAACCAATATCTTTCGAACGGTTTTTGAATTTTCAAAATCGATTCAGAATTGCGGGCTAAAACGTAGACGAAAAATTTTTCACTTTTCTGCCATTCATAAAGAAACGGCTTGGCCGATCGTCGCACAAAACTGACAAACAATAGTTCTCGTCGAGATACATCGAATGGCTTTTAAATTTTTGAAATCGACCCAGCCGTTTTCGAGAAAACGTCGATTTACGGCAAAAAATCTGTTGGTGCACACGCACACACACACATACACACACACACACACACACACACACACACACATACTTTTTCCAAATTTGGTCTCATTCGATTCAGAATGGCTTGAAACGTCGAGAAAACATAAAATTAGCGAATCGGATTTTTTTGATGAAAACATAAACTTCTCCTTCGGGAAGTTAAAAAGCATTTATTTTTATATATTACATACATGATTACAGAATATGGTATTTAGCTTTAGAAACTATACGCACAATTATTAGTAAACATATTTTTTTCATGAAACATCAAAAGGCAATTTTCTACCCAAAAACATTTGTTGTGGCATAGTAGATCCCCAACTAACATTAGCAGTGTTAAAAGAAGGGTGGAATTTTACCATTAGCTTGAATTTTCTTTTATTTAAATGATTATGTGTTCTCTTAACTGACTTGACATAAAATTATGAGTCCTATTTTCAATATTGGTCAGCTAATTTCAGGCTTGCACTTGTTACTTAATATTGATTGCTGTGTTTTTATTTTTCTCACTGATATTTTATTATTACTTTCAAGAATACAATTTCTCGAAAAAAAACAATGTAGAATTATTTGTTATGAATATAAGGTGTAATAAAAAAATTATTTTTCAATAACGTACCTTCCAGAAAGGGATTTAGTAAGACGGTTGTCTTGTATTTATAACCTTAAAATTCCTAGCATTGATACTGTTTAATGCCTCAGTTATTAAGCTACAACAAAAAATTATATCAGAAGTGCTAGTAATAGATGCGAGTATTTTGTGTGCATATTGATAAAACTGTCAGTGTGTGCACGTGTCAGTGTCAGTGTGTGCACGTGGATGAAGTGTTTTGATACTTGTGTTTTGTGTACGATGTTGTTTAATAGTGCTTAATTAAAAAGACTTTGAACCCTAAAAAAATATTAGGTTTTTAACAATCTGCTAATATTTAGTATTTATTTTTGTATCTGATGCGAAGATTTTGAATCAATTAATAGGCTTCAATATCATTATTAACAAGTGTGTATATACAAGCCTGAAAACAATATTACACTGCAATACTTATAATATCTCTGATAAAAAGTTGACATAACATCATAAACTTGAAGAAGTCAATCGAATAAAATTTAGACAATATGCTAGAAGTTTGTGTAGATAGTATTGAATCTGCAATTGCAGCATCTGAAGGGGGTGCGAAGAGAATTGAGTTGTGTGCTGCACTGAGTGAAGGAGGGCTTACACCTACACCAGGTTTATTAAAAATTGTAAAACATAATGTAAGTTAACAGTTATACATTTTTAATTAACGATAGCCCAAATTTTATATTTTCTTTGTTTATATATATATATATATATATATATATATATTTAATTATTCATAAATTATTATTTAGATCAAGCCATCAGTGGATGTGTATGTCATGCTCAGGCCACGCAATGGTAATGATTTTGTTTACTCTGATGAAGAAATCAATATTCTGCTTGAAGATATTAAAATATTTAAAGATTTTAAAGCAAATGGTTTTGTATTTGGAGCCTTAACACCCTCAGGGTTAATTGATGAAACTAAATGTCAATTAATAGTGAATGCTTGTAAACCATTATCTGTTACATTTCATAGAGCATTTGATGTAAGCAGTAATCCATTTTCTGCATTGGAAACAATAATAAAATTAGGTTTTGTGAGGATACTAACAAGTGGTATGGCTAAAAATGCAGAAGATGGTCTTGATAATATAAAACAATTAGTGATTCAGGCTGGAAATAGAATTTCTATAATGCCCGGATGTGGTATTACAACTGAAAATGTTAGAAACATTTTCTTTGCTTCATGTGTTAAAGAAATACATGCCTCGGCTAGAGTTAAAAAAAATTTAAACTTGAGTCGAGAGATTAATATAAATTTTAGTAATAGCGACGAATGTACATATGTCACAGATGCAAAACTTGTCCAAGAACTCGTAAATTCTATTATCTAAATTACAGTGACACCCCGCATTACATAAATAGTTTGTTCTGGGAGAAAGTTTGTTGTGCGGAAACTTTGCTATGCAAAATGGGTATTTTTCCTTTGAATACATGAAAATAAAATTAATTCGTTCTGTAGTTTGAAATGTGGTCATAGAAAATAAGATATATTTTACATATAATCAAGGCATTTAAAAAAATATTACTGATTTACAAAATGAGTTATCTTTTAGCTTCTGAAACTTTACAGAAACTGTCAATAGTTTTTTTTTCCAACAAGTATTTTCACAGCGGATCAAAAATTTCCAATGTTCACTCTATGAATTAATTTGAGCAACTTGTTTTTTCACAACAAATGTTCTAAGAAATAAAAATAGTATATAATCTAAATGCCCATGTATGTTATTTCTAATGGAATCAATTTTCAAACATGTTACCTCCAATCAGTAATAATTTGTTAATTATATTATATATTTTTATTTCTGATAAATGAGCTATACTTTTACATCATTTGATATAGCATAAAAAGGAATGGCAGTTTAATATCTTACAAAGTAAATACTTTTAACATTGAAATAATTTATAATTAATTAATAATTATAATAGAAATTGAAATATAATTATTTTCTTAACAATAATGTTTTATTATTCATGCATCAAATTTATATATTGCGTTTATTTAAATGCTTTCATTTCTCATATTAACATCATCTTGATGCAAACTTTTCATATAAAATGTTCATAACATTTGCTAGGTAACACTTCCCAGTTATAAATATACCCTACTTCTTCTACATTAATATTTTCATATGGTTCATTCTTATAATCCAGCAACAAAGATTTCATTTCCATTGGTGATACTTTATGCAATACAATATGCAACAAACTCATTTTTCTTGGATTTGCTTCAGTATTGAATCTTGGATCATGCCTTCGATAAACATTGTTTAAAGGAGCCAACCAGGCACCAACAGAAACATCTTCACTATTAAATTTGCTAAAGAAGAAGGAAATTGTTATTTGGGAGGTTTAAAACTAATTTTATAATATATATTTGCAAAAATAGACTTCAAATAGCACTTTATATTATAAATTTATAAATAAAGTTTAATTTTATTTTTAATACTAATTTATCATTTAATTATAACAAAATATTAGATAAAAATTACCTGAAATGTTGGTCATTATTTACAATGTACTTCACTAAATAGGCACTAAGAATATAACCACCTCCTAGAGCATAAGGTAAGTAACGATCACAAAGAAACCATTCCTTCTCTGCCCAAGGCCCACTATGTTTTACTCTAGCTGCACCATTGAAATATCCCCAATATAACTGTGGCCTAAATGTAATATAAAATACAGAATTTTAAGTGAGCAATGTACAAAAATAAAATTATATGTTTTTTTTACTTACATGGAAGTATTATATTTGTATATCTCCATAACATTATGATCATAAGCTTCTAATTCTTCAATTACGGTGTCTAATTTAATAAAGGAATCATCATCACATTTTAATATATATTTAAATTTATACAATATCGAAACTTTTTCGAAAGTTTGAACTATCTTATTTGTAAGAGATCTATATGAATCATTTAATGAAGGCAATAATAATATATCATCAAACTTCGAATTTTCTAACTTTATTGAAGAGATGATGTCAGTAGACAGGCCATTGGTACCAATTGAAAACAAATGTTTCACCTTAAATCTAGTCCTACTAAAATGCTTTTGTGGCCTCAATTGAGCTGAATCAGTCTTTAACTTTGTGGCATATTTAATGAGCCTTTGTTTTTGAATTGTTGTTGTGTCCTTTTTCAGAAATCCTTCTTGGTTATAAATAGGTACATCCATGTAGTCTAAAGTAGACTCAAATGAGTTATAATTAATATTGTCTTTCAACCGTAACCACGTCTTACGAATTGCATCTCTTTTATGATAATTTTGAGGTGATGTTAATATAACTAAAATAATATCATAATCAGGAACATCTTGGGAGGTAGGTATAATGCAAATGTCGGTATTAATATATGATAGAATATATCCTAAAATAAATGACGAGAAACCGACATAAATCAATTTTATATTGCGATATAAATGTAATCTCATTATTATAGACTAGCAGTATTTTAACATAACCCCATAAACTGTCATGTTATTTATTTTTGTTTTGACTGTCATGCATTTGACACATTTAATTTTGGCTACCGCTGAAGAAGTTCAATTAATTTTATTAAATACGAGTGATATAATTATCTCTTTATCGAGGATGATAGATTTTAAAAACTTATTTACATTGTCTAAGCTTATTTATATATTCAATAAAAAATTTCGTTTATGTGCCATGAGCTGTGAAGTGGTTTTTGCTCTATATTTACCGAAAGTTAAAAAATATGGATATAGAGTACAAATACATGAAATGGCTTTTAAATTTCTGAAATCGGTTCAAACGTTTTTGAACAAACGTCGATGAAATGTCCAATTATGACCAATGCCAAAGAAACGATACTAATTTTTGCAAACTTTGAAGAATTTTTAAAATTAAACGACTTGTCGTTGGGCCGTAATATTTTAATATGATCTATAATACCAATTACTATGTATCTCCCATAGATAAATAAGCATAATGATATCTCCGTCAAAACAATATCATAAAAATCGTAGAAAAAATTTTGGTTAACACTTTATTACAAGAAAACGGCCCAGCCGATCTTTGCAAAGACTAATCAGCACGGTTCCCAACCAATATGTTTCGAACAGTTTTACAATTTTCAAAATCGGTTCAGAATTGCATGCTAAAACGTGGACGAAAAAATTTTTACTTTTCTGCGATTTACAAAAAAACGGCTTGGCTGATTGTCGCGCAAAGTTGATAAACGCTCGTCCTCATCGAATTGCTTTTAAATTTTTGAAATCGGTCCAGCCGTTTTTGAGAAAACGTCGATTTACAGCAACAAGTCTGTAAAACACACACATACTTAACGCATACAAAAAAATACGCTTTAATTCTGAACAAATTTAAGTCGTGTACTTGCTTTTCATTAATTTAAACAAATTTTTGAAATTAATTATTATTAATTTACTATAAGCAAGAAGTGAATAAGAGAAAACACAATGAGCCAATAAATCAATTTAAATAATAATAACAAATAGTAGACCGAAAGCAGGTCCATTGGGTCCATGTTTTGGTTTAATCGATCTTGTATTTTAGTATGATTTTAGTTAGTACATGAAAGTTCTAGATTATGTCACAAGCGGCGCTTCGGAAAATATTTGCATTTTCTTTTATCTATGATTTGCATGTTCTATGCCGTTCTATGCCGTTCTATGATAAAAGAGTTCTATGCAAAGAACCGTTAAATAAATTTCACTAACTGGTGTGAGCTGGTGTGTGTCTTGGGATGTCGTTCGACGTTGGTAGCATTGTTTGTTTACAACATCTTTGAATTCTGCGATTCGTATCTTTGGCGTATAATTAAGCGGAATATTTACTAGCGGTAGCTTGTCACTCGCACAGTTTTATACTCGCTCTTTGGCAAATCGGTCTTTAGCAAAAGTGCACATAAAGGTTTTACCGGTTTATTGTATCGTACTAATATATAATAATCACAATGGCTGATGAATACTTTTACGGTAAGTGATAATGTACTATATCTATATTTCATGCTCCAAGTAATATTTTGTTTAATACTTGTGTACTTCGCATGAAATTAATATCAACATGTTGGCGTCGTAGAATCCTTTGCCGATCTTTGATTCGCCATTATGAACATGCTGTTTCTAATTCTTGAATGCTGATAAGCATATATTTTTCAAGCGTATTTGATAGGATAATTAAGCTGAATTGACTTTATATGCTTCTAACATAATATAAATTGTGTAGGTATAACTTTATCTGGAGCCGGCGCCACTGAAGTTTGGGATCCCGAAACAAAAGCAGAGGAATACCCAAGAACAAATAAGCTTGTTTTAAGACAAGCTCTATTAGGTCATGAAGCTAAAGAAGGCGAATACAATGTCGTACAGGTACTAATAATCTCACTAATTTCATAATTACATTCAACGTAATTGTTTCATTATATTATCTAAGAAAAAAAAGTTGAACTTATATTAACTACTCTCTTTATTTTAGGTTGAAACTATGTCCATTCGTGATACCGTTAAGACCCCAGTAGCAGTTCTTAAAGTTGGTGAATCTCGACAATGCCGTTTGGATTTAGAGTTTCCAGATTACCCAGTTACATTCACCTTGATACAAGGATCAGGACCTGTACATTTACATGTAAGTCACCTTTCTTCCAGACATCATAAATTTAGTGAAGTATTTCTTTATTACCTCCACTAGAAATTATCTATCAAATTATGCTGTTCTTATATATTGTTGATTATCTCTGCTCATTGTTCAATCGAGAATTAATAAATTTAAAGAAAATCTTACTTGTAAATCACAATTAAATTTTAAAATCATGCTTTTCATAAACTTACATATGGGTTTATGTAAATTTACATAACATTATGTATGTTTACATATTTATTTATTTCATATGGGAAATATTTTCTTTATCCAGTGTTATGTATCCAATAAAAACAAATTTTACATTTTTGGTTTCTATATACCTAAATACCTTTTAAAGATGTTATCAGACTTTCCAAGTATTATTTTAAAGTAATTTTATCATCGGTTTTTTAGGGCCAGCACTTATTTGGTGCCCTTGTTGAAGAATTTGAAGATATGGATGAAATGGAAGAAGAATTGTTAGATGAGGAGGAGGATGAAGATCAAGCTGTAAGTGTTTTTTCATATCTTTATAAATTTTATATACTTGAATATTATACCTTAATATTCAATATCAGCATTTGTGATGTTCTTTAATGAAAGCAAATTCATTCAATCATTTTGACACATTCAACTTTTGTATGCTGTTCAATTGCCACTTCATGGCATTAAAGACTGGCAGCCTAATTTTGGTTACGTTTTCATAAACATAGCTTTTGTTAAAATGCATAGCAAGTACATGAAAATATGTCAGTAAACAAGCCCATACCTGAAATGCATTTTGCTTGCAGGATGGTCCCAAAAAACGCAAATCTGGAAATAAGAGGGAACATGAGGTAGAAAACAGCCATTAATTTTCATTTTTATTTTAATTTGCTTTAATCATTTCATTATTTTTAATTGAGCATGTATTTTTTTTGTTGGTGAGTGACTTTTTGTAGTATTATAATTGTTACGTTCATCACAAGTATGGGATCTGTACATGGTAAATAAATATTTATTTTATTGTTTCAGGATGAGGATCAAGAAGAAGAAGATGGACCCAAAAAGAAGGCTAAATTAGCAAATAATGCAAAGGGTAAAGCTGGTGCACCAAAGAATAAGAAGAAATAATTGATTTAAAGTCGAAATTCCAATTTGTTGTACTTTATAAGAGTAAAGCAATTTCACTCACATCTATAATGTGTATACATGTATTACATTTTTATTTTATTACCTTGGAATATTGACATTTTGAATGAAACATTAGTAATTTTGTTGTTTAAATGCTCACCTATTACAGTAATAACTTGTATGTATGTTCTAAACCTTTTTAAAATTTAGAAATGTAACGAGTTATGTGGATATTTGTGATCTATGCTGAATGATACTATTTAGTGGACAAAATTGCAGTTTTGCATTAACCTTTTGGTGAGAATCTTGCAATCCAATATTGTGTAGTTTTAGTTTATAATGTACATATAAGCAACCTTAATGTAAGCATTAATTTAATCAATAAAATCTTTTCTATATCATTTGATTTATTGAAATGTATTTGTACTTGCAAATTTTAATTCAATTTTTCAGTAATTGAACTTTGGCGCTGAAGACTCACAATTGAACTGCCTACAACTTCACTATAAACGCCATGTTGAAGTATCTTTATTCGTGCGTTCATTTTGGTTTTCACGTCATTTAAATATTTTGGCAATGGATACGCAACGCGCGTTAAACAACAAATCAATTGGTGACAAAATAACTAGTTTGTTAGATTTAAATGAGTTAAACCAACAGGAGGCTATAGGAATCGGAGTCTCTTTAGTAGACGACAATGTCAACGCTACATCTTTAGAGCATAGTGATAATTCTAATGTAAACACAGGATTATTACAATTTTCAGAAAATCATGGAGATGTTGATAAAGAGTTGGCAGATCATTTATCCAAGATCTGTAGAACTTGTTTAGAAGTCAAGTCTGATTTGAGGCCTTTATATGAAAATTGTTTGTCAGATATGGTTATGGCTGTTGCTGCTGTTTCGGTAAATGTCAATTTTGTAATGCTTGTTTAACGATATTTTTTATTGGTCCAATCAACATTGAGAATGACAGCATAAAATTAAATAATTGCTATAATTCTTATATTAAAAAAGTTATGAATTTTATATTTTTTCATCTTTTTTACAGGTACTTATATATTTATATGATAATAATTGGGTCTTGGATTCGTATATGTTGTATTGAGCTTAATCAAAAATTTGTTTTTAGTCTTTTACAAAGTTGCATTGAAAAATCTTGTTTTGAATTTTGTTTACATAAGCCTATTTTCTGTTTACATATGGAGTTTTTATTATATATCATACTCATTCATAATTTTCATGGTTTATTTTATAATCCAATTATTTATATTTATTACTATATTAGTTTTTTGTTTATTTATCTTCTAATTAATATCAGTTCTTTGTTAAGTTGAAACTAGTTCCAAAACGTTGATAATAAATAATCGTTCTGGTTTTTTATTTGTTATTTGATTTCTTATTCGAAACTTAACCTAATACATATTTATATGTATAAACAATTGTTTAGATTTATAGTATTAGCGATATTTATTTTTACTAGTAATGTTTAAGTACTTTGGTTATTTTATATTTATACTTGCTTTAATCACAATCACATGAATATTTCATTAAGTTAAATTGCTTATTATACTTATGCAAACAAAAATAATTTTTCAGATGGTAGAGGATGATGGATTGCCCTCTCAAATCTGTACACAGTGTCTTCTAAATGTACATAAAAGTTTTGCTTTCAAACAACAATGTGAAAGAGCTGATTCAACTATTCGTCATTACATAAAGGTAGTATTTTAAACATCAAATTAAATGGATACAAGTGTTAAATATTTATATGTATATTAACATTATTAGAAGCAATCAGACAGAAAAACTTTCTTCTATTCAGAAATTCTATGCCTCAATTACTGAACTGTTTTATAATTGACATTATTTTGATTTAACAATATATATGCATTGCCATTACTTCAGGGTTTTATAGCGGGTGAAAAATGTGATCTACTGCTGCCTCCTGATAGTGATTATGCTGATTTCACGTATGTTTTATTCATGTAAATTTTATTAATAATAAACAATCTAATAAATTTAATTTTATTAGGGATAAGTTTACTATTATTAAACCTGAATTATCAGAGCCTGATGAACAACAACGTGACTCAAAACCTCATTTAACATTATTGAATCAGGCGGAGATTGTAGAAATGACATATATTGATGATACTACAGAACTTTCTGAAGACCACAGTCAGTAAATTTTGTAGATTTTTGCATAATTATCTATTAAATTTACCTAATATTGTATTTTCTTTTTTTTAAGATATTGTGAATGAAACTGAAATATCATCTGGCATTAATGATTTTGAAAATAAATCAAATAATAACATATTGACAGAGGTTTCAATTGAAAATCAAAACATAGAAAATAGTAAAGATGGTAGATGTAGAAGGAAAATAAAAAAAACCATTGATGATGAAGAATGGGAAAAAGATGACTCATATCTCTGTGATTTTTGTGATAAAAGGTTATTTATTAAATATTTATTTATGGTTTATCCATTATTTTAAACTTTTGATATTGTATAATTTCAGTTTTAGTGATAGAGAAGAATTAGACAAACATTCAAAGTGCCACCAGAAGAAAAAGAAACCATTTATTTGTACAGTATGTAATAAAAAGTTTTGTGGTGAGCAATAATTGTGATTTAATTTAGTCGTAAAAGAATTTATGAATTTATAATAGTATATCATATTTCAGATCAAAGAAAACTAACTAGACATAAGCGGATACACATGGAAAATAAATTGTATAATTGTGGCCTTTGCAAAAAGGTAAGTGATTATTTCAATTTCTAATGAAATGGAGAAAACAAATATTAAAATTAATGATGGCAGTATTAATATGAATAATAATTTACAAGTAATATTGCACAAAATTAGAATTGTTTGTCAAAATATAAAGTTTAAAAAATTAATTATTGATTATTGTTTACCTTGCAATCATATTTTATTGTGCATGTTTGAAAAGGTTTTTTATAGTATTAATTATTTCAGGGTTTTAATGAATCGGGTGACCTTAAAAGGCATATGCGAAAACACACAACTGAAGAATCTCAAAATAAAAACTTTCCATTTCCATGTTCAGAATGTCATTTGGGTTTTACATTGAAAGGTGATTTAGAAATACATTCTTCGATACATTCAAAAGATGGTAAACATGTGTGTAATCATTGCAAAAAGGAATGTACAAGTAAGTGAATGAAATGAATATTTGTTTAAATTCTTTTCATATCAATCTATTTGTCTTCTATTTCAAATTATATCTGCTATTTGATATCTGATCATGTGTTATGATTATCACTCAAATGTGACTTATCGCATTACACAATTGTGCTCTAAGCTCAATGATTCATGAATGGTTGTTTACATTTTATATTTTATTATGAAATAATTTGAAAAAACATTTAATACATATATTTTGTTCAATTTGTTACAAACTATATTAAATGTTAACTTTATATGATTTTTGTTTCAACTATTAAAAATCATAGCATTTTATTTGTTGCATTATCAATTTATCAAAAAGTTTCTCAGAGTTGTCAAGTTACCTTATTCACTATTTAAGAATTTTCTGTTTAAATTTTATTAAAAATTAACTTTTATCTTTTTGTAATAATTTATGATATAAATTTCATAATATTTTAGTAGTTTGTGTTATATATTAATAATTCAATATTATCTAATTATTTTTTTTAGCGAGTTTACAGTTGAAAAGACATGTTCGTATTCATTTGGAAGATAAGCCACATAAATGTACGTTATGTGGAAAGGGATTTCCAGAAATGGGCTCTTTGACACGACATGCCCGGCTACATACTGGTGAACAGAGGGAGAAGAAATTTCTTTGCGTTACTTGTGGAAAAGGGTATATTCTCATATTTACTCGCATAAACTTTTATTCATTTTTGACAATGCTTCATGTAGAAAAAGAAAATTCTTTGTAAAGATTGTATTAATTAGAAAAATCTTAATGTAAATGTATAATTTAAGTGAAAATATTCAATTAATTAAAGAGATTAATGTGTCAAGTATTATTTTTATGTCCATATTAAGTAAGTCTAGACCATTTTGCTGTTATGTAACATATTAATTAGTTCAAGTTTTGTTTAATTTTTTAGCTATTATGACAGCCATTCTTTGGGAATTCATATAAGAACTCATACTGGAGAGAAGCCTTGGGTATGCAGCACATGTGGAAAAGCATTTATTGATTCGCGATTATTAAATTCACACATGAAAACACATTCGAATGAAAAACCATATTCTTGTCAAGTTTGTAGTAAGAGGTATGTGTGATTTTTTTAACAATTTATATTTTGATATGTTCTACTAAAACCATATAACTTATAAATAAGTAATTAGATGTTTCTATAAAATTAATCATTTCTTTGGTCTTCAGTATAAGAATTGTAGTATTGTTCTATGCACCTCTATCTCACACCAATTGCCTTCCTGGCCCGAATTAATGCAATTTTTAATAACAAGACCTTCACTAAACTTTACATTTTAATAAATTGTGCTAAGCATTTTTATTAAAGATGAAATGCTAATTAAACTACAGTTATTTGGATGCTTCACTCTTATTGCAAAGTTAATTAACACAAATAAAGTTTTTTGGGATATAATCAAAGTGTTAGGATACTATAACTTATAAATAATTAGTTTTTTCTATAAAATTATTCATTTCTTTGAGTCCTTAGTGCAAAATACATCATAAATATGAATATACACCCAGCAACTTTTAAATGTGATTTAATATAAATATTTCTTTTTATTAGATTTACTCATCAGTCTACACTCACCACACACATAAGAACCCATACTGGAGAAAAGCCTTACATTTGTAATGTCTGTGGAAAGACATTTATTCAAAGTTCTAATCTATCCTTACATATGCGTACTCATTCAGGTAAGCTGAAAAGAATAGAAAAACTAAATATCAGACCTTTTGTTGGAAATAGGATGATTTACTTCTTTCTTATGTAAAATTTACATAAGAAATTATTACACAAATTATTATTATTATATTTATGTAACTTTTATGAATCTAATTAATTCACTTATCATTACAATATTTAATCATAATATTTAACTGTGTTATCAAAATATGATATTGATTTGTTCTTTATTTCCAGGAGAAAAACCTTACAATTGTTCTGTATGCAATAAAAACTTTGCATCATCATCAACCTTAACAATGCATATGAGGATTCATACAGGAGAAAAGCCCTACTTTTGCGAAATTTGTGGTAAAAGGTATGTATATTTTTAATTTTCTTCTTTTTTAATTTTAAAAATAAATATCAAATTATATTAAAGTTAATATACATTAATAAATAAATTTGTTTTTGATATATGTAGGTATGTTGGAACATTGATTACACTACACTGATTTTATGTTTTATGTATTTTATGTTACACAGTGAATTCATAAAATTAGTTCTGGTTTGTTTTTATTTTTAATTGGTATAATTTACCATAAAAAAAATCATTTTTATGAACTTGATAGTAATTGCAAATCAGTTTCTATATGAATAATCATTATTATGTATATTATTGTTAAATATTGAGTTCTCATTTTTCTTGCCAATGACGATTTTCTACATGCCTTTATAAATTAATAAATCTTATAAAGGTATGTAAGAATATCTGTTTTACTATCTTTTCTTTTCACTTTCTAGATAGTCTCTCCAGACTTATCTTTCTTGTGATAAAATAGCAAGCTTACTACTTAATTTTCTAATCATTTTCATGAGAGGTTGAGAAAGTAATGGACACTTTTATTTAAAGAAAATTAAATTATTAAATATTTTAAAATAACTTAGTCTTAATAATAGAAATATTAAAGCCACGTAATCAATGACCAATTTGATTTATGATACAATCCATCAGTTATAATGAAATTTTTATATTTTAAATCTTAATTTTATAATTTATTACATTTATTTGTAGATTTGCCAGACATGATTTAACAGCTCATATGCGTACTCATACAGGTGAACGCCCATTTGAATGCAATTTGTGTTCCAAAAGATTTACAACGACTGGTCAATTAAATCAGCATTCAAGAATACACACAGGTATTTATATAATCTAATCATATTTGCTATATTTATTTATTTATAAGTTAGCCATAATAAATATTATCTCAGGCTCTTGTCAGACATAATTATATTAAACTTGCATATGTAATATTTTTAATTAACAGACTATTAATTTAAATATCTATAGTGCATTTTGCATCAAATTAATTATTTTTTTCTATTTCAGGAGAAAAGCCATTTGTTTGCCGAATATGTAATAGAGGTTGTACAAGTAATAGCTATTTAAAACGTCACATGAGGATTCATCAAAATGCTCAAATAGTGACAGCACAAGACCTAATTCAACAATCAGAAAGAAATATCAGCACATCAATAGCAACAACGCAAATACTAAATGTTGGTAGAGTTATAACAGTTGGAACATCTAACATTCTAAACATATCTGGGACAGTCGAAGTTCCAATAACTATAGTAAATAGTGATGGGACCTTATCTAGTGTGACTAGCCATGAATTAGAAACTACTACAATTATTACCGAAGATTCAGAGGTAACAGAAAGTAATGCAGATTTAAACGAAACAACTAAAATCTGCCAAACAATAGATCCAACAATGTTGAGGTATCAAACAATATCAGCAGAAAATTTGAGAGGACTTGCCATAAGTGAAATTACACATAGTTAAAAATGTAGAACATCTTTATTAATAGTATTGAATAATTTTTAGTTTAACTAAACAAGTATTACACTTTAATTTAGTTTATTTGAAGAAAAAAGCTTTGAATTAGGAGCATCTTATTGACTGTATTTATTTATTGTGATTATCAGCCATATCTTTGGTTTATATATTTTATTTAAATATTCATCTTTTCAATGAAATTATTAGGATTTTCAAATTAATTAGTGCATGATTGTTAAAATATTTATATGATGGTACAAATGCAATTTATTATATTCATATAATTATAAATAAAATTATTTATATAATTTTTTAATATATTTGTCTTTTATTAATTGTTTTTGGGTACAACAGATTTAATATTCATTTTCTCATTTTAAGGGTATTTGAAAAAATAACTAACCTAAAATTAAGGTTCTGTCAAAGTGTATTTCCTTACGTTGGTCATCCTGTCAAACATCAATTTGTAGGGTTGGTCATCCATTGCGCAAAGTTCATTTCTCAACCCTGAGTCATCTTGGCGTTTCGTTGTCAAGCCAACTGCTAACTTCAGTACGTTTTGTGCGTTGAACGAGTGAGATCTTGTTGGTGTTTCTTGACGAGTGAAATAAACATTAATAACGTTTGCTGTTATTGAATTCTCTAAACAATTGGATATTACACTATATTAACAGGTGATTAAGTTTTTTAATTTATTTAAAATGCTGAATTTTATTATTAACATGTGCCAAGCGTGCCGCCGGTCATGAAACCCTGTTCGGTCGATATTTTAATAGCAAAACACTGTTTGATGACACCCTTGCAAATGTCTAAAACGTGCTATGGGGTTGGAATATTTCAGATAAAACATACTTTAAATAGATTGTAATAGATATTGAATCTGATATAATATTGTAGAACTAATTGTAAAATCATATATCAATATTTAAGGGTATTTAATTCTTGAGGGCATGGTATAAAAGTATGCTGAGGGTGAAAGATTGTCAAATGAAATATAATAATGACAAATGAGATATTACAAATATTGATCGAATAGTGTTTAAAATACTAGTTTTGTTTATAATTTCATGAAATTATCCAAATTTTATTTTTAAATTATTTTTACATGTAAACAAAATTATTTCATTTTAATTCATCTATTAAAAGGTGAGAAAGACTCAACAATATTAACATATATAAATGAAGAAAGTCATAATAAATCCATCATTGTATAAGAATTTTGTGTAAACATTTCTGAAATTTGTGCAGGACTGTAATATATTTATTTATTTATTTTTTAAATATATAGCCCACAGATTTTATCCAAGAGGACTTAAAAATACAATTATTTTACAATATGGATAACAATTAATATATATACAAAATTACAATATATAGTAAAATTAATAATGTACTTAACACAAAATTACATAATACAGAATGTAACAATATTATTTATTTACATAGAAGAAGATAAAATAATGAAAGATATTATAAATAAACAATTGTTTATTTAGCTCCGAAACTACATAATTTTTTTTTCATTTATTCAAGTCTTGTATTTAAGTATGATGAAAATAATTAAAAATATTGTACAATTAAAATAAAAATAAAATGCTACTGACAATCGCAAAAATACATACTGTGGTGTTAAATTTAACAAATATTTTTGCAAATTAATTACTGGTAAATCATCTATTAATTTCTTAATTAGACAATTAACTATCTTAATTGAAGATTACTAACTATCAAATCAATTTATTAATCAATGAGTTGCTATATATAATTTTGTGAAAGTTTTTATGCAATTGTCAATTAATTTAATTAATTAATTAATTTAATTGCTAATAAATTTATTTTTATTTATTTATTTATTTATTTAACGCCCATGGCAATAATAATTTAGGATATATAATTGTTCTTATTGACTTATAATAATACTGTACAAATTTTCGGTGATCACAATTTAAAATATTATTGTCTTTATTGTTAAATGGTACTTATACAGGTAACCCATAACACGGTACTTCTATAATACGGATTCGCTCTAACACGGTTTAAGGATTGATACCATCCCCCTTATAACACGTGTTTTAAAGCACGGGTTTGCTCTAACACAGTTTGAGAATTGAGCAAAACCCTAATAAAATAAAAAACATAGTAAAACCTATGAAAATCAAACTTTATTTATTCTAAAATTAGTAAAGTCGCAGTACAATAGCTCAATAAATGTGATGAAATTAATGCAAAAATAACTAATTTGATAGAAAAAAAAATTCTAGGCTAATCCGAACAATTAGTCAATTAGTCTTAAACAAAGATCCTTTAAATAAAATGAGCATAACATTTTAATAAAGATAACTTTGCATGTGGTAAATATATAAATATATTCTTGCTAATATATAAATATCTAAGGAGGTAATCGCAATTATATTGTTTTTGCAAAAAATAAATCGTGTTGGATAGCACTCGTTAATTATGACAAAATAAAATTATATAATTAATGTAATGTATATTACTTCTCAAAAAATTAATAAATATAAGAATATTTATTAACTTCCAGTAGGGTATATCATAGTAATCGCAAAAAAACCGAAAATGAAAATTTTTATATAATTTTACGTTTCAGAAGTTTCTGAACATTT